TATCCGGGCTACAATTGATAGACTAGTTATCTGTGGACCACTGTTTTTTCCATCTTGTTTTGTCTGAGGTAAAAGTGGGTAAAACTGCAGTATTTCCAATATTAGATTAGATTAGTTAAACTTAGTTAGTTCAACTTAACTGTCACTGCAGATGGCCTATGCCTGTATAGTCTAAGCAGAAGTATGAATCTGTACAAGGCAGTACACGTCAGTGGTGGCAAATGAAACGCCCTGCCAGACTGTAATCCCGATTTGCAGCTCTTAAGAACAGAAATGCACCAGGGCATCACAAAAATAATGGCTGCTTTTCGTGCTTAAAATGTGCAAATAAAGCGCAAATGAAATAGAAGGTAGTGTGCCATTGTAAGTTAATAGGGTTGTAGCTCTTGTAGAACGCCCCTCTTAGCAAAGGAAACGTAAATGACACTAGTTTTATCAGGTCTACAAACTACTGCTACACAGCAAGGCCGGTCTATTTATAATGAGTTGATTAGTTGTCTGTTTACTCCTGGGCTTCAACACTCACGAGGAACACTCTTCTGTGGGTTTACAGGGAACGCTCAAAAGAAAACATGTCACGGTGAAGTTATACAGTATATGTGACAGAGTCAGGCAAATGCGTTCCTTCGAAAACTATTCTGTGCCAGCTACAACCAGCGTGATTTCCTTTGATAAAACAGCTTAGGGCTAACCCAGTGTTAACTTTAGCTTAGCCAGCTAGCTCTTGTGAACTTACCTGCTCACTAGCTCCAAGGATCAACTGCAGTTTTCTGAGCTTTTCAGTAAGTATCCGAACTCAAGCGAGTTCGTCCCCGATGTTTCTCTCAGATGCGGTGGCTGTTTCAAATTCACGGGTGGTTTAACTCCTGCTTCTGTTGCTTCACAGCAAAATCACATTTGTGATCTTCTCACTCTCAGCCATCGTCCTGTTGTCATGACACTGACGCTTAACGGAGCCGCCGGGTCACAGTGCGCAGGAGCGGAAAAGCAGAGGTTGTTGGGAAATTGAGTCTGACAGGAGAGTCAGAAGTACTACAGTTTTTATACGTACTCTGATATTACATTAAGAAAAATTGGACTTCTGTTTTTTGTAATTATGGATTTTTCTCAGAAATTACAGTTTAACACATTAATTCTTAAATCAAGATTTAATTGGAGATTTAAATGTTTAAAATCTAAATCAAAATCAATTTTCTTTTTTCCCCTTTGGCTTGGGCACTTATCTAATTCTAAATTTGAGACAGCAGTGACAATTTGAATGTGGTGAAGGAAAAAAGAGAGTTAATGATTTCTAAAAAGAAATTACTCTGGTGGTATAAAGAGATTTACATTATATAATATCTGTGGACTTACACTGTTAAGTGATGTTAACCACCCAAATTTAAAACATATCTGGAACAACGAAAAAATTGGGCTCGTCCGGGATTTGAACCCGGGACCTCTCGCACCCTAAGCGAGAATCATACCCCTAGACCAACGAGCCACGTAGACATCCTTCAAGGATTGTCATCACACGCAAGTCTTCCTTCTTCGCCATCTCTAACAGCTCATTATTAATTTCTTCACTTACAGTACTTCTTTTATAGTATTTATTTTTATTTGATTTTATATACAAAAAAGACATTTGGTGAAACGAACGCTTGAAACATTGAAACATTGTCTCCATCTACAGGACTTTTGTACAACAGCACATCTAAGAACTGCGTAAGCAGTTATTTGAACTTCAACTCTGAGAGGAGGCAAATTAATTATAATCCATTATTAAAACTATTTGAAATGATTTTGTATTTAAATTATTTATTTTTGTAGATTTTCACGTACGAGCTTTTCCCTTACAGTTGTCAAAGCACGCTCTTTCTGTCAAAGAAAAAGTTCTAAGAGACTAAACCAACTCAAAAAAAAGAAAAAAGAAAAAAGAATGTGAACGTCAGATTTATTCTGATATAGCCTTAAGTTCCTCGTCTTTGCCGTGGGAAACGGCTGTAGGAATGCGGATAACAAGATAGATCACAAAGACTACTATGAAAATGCATGGGAATTTGATATAGACCTTGAATATTGTCCCTGCACACAACATGCACAGGCGTTTCTTTTCCGGTGTGGTCCTTGCAAATGTTATTCATAGAGCACCGAGAATTTGGACCTTGACCCGAGTGACTGTAGTCCTTGTTGGTCTGTGGCTGACGAGGGTGATGTCTATTACGTCTGTATCTTGCTATATACAGTATAGTTGGAGGTGTGCATTGTTAGTTGATGGTGACGGATTCTTCTGGAGCTACTACTTCAATACGAATATAAATCACGTTGTTGCGGTATTATAAAATGAGTCAAGACCTGAGGTCAAGGTTCCATAAAGAGGGCTCGTCCGGGATTTGAACCCGGGACCTCTCGCACCCTAAGCGAGAATCATACCCCTAGACCAACGAGCCACGTGAAGCACAATTTCAAAAACGTAAATTGCCACGTTTGCAGCTACTTGAGTCCTTATATATGCGGAACCTATTTTGAAGATTTCTTTGGTAACGCAGGAAGATTGACCCAAACTCGTGCAAAACATGGTACCAGTGTATTTTATGTAATCATTCATTCCGTCAGTAATTTACCTTTAGTAACTAAGTCCTATCAGTCATTGGAGAAAGACATTTTAGTACGTTTCTTGAATGCCTTTGTCCAATAACAAAAAAAAATAACAAAAAATAAATAAAAATTATAATATTAACATAAAAAAGTTTGGATAATAAACATATAGTATCTAGATATTATTCTAGAATTAAAGCAGATTAATTGAGCTTGTTTTACGTTGTACAAACTGCACCAATCCTAGAGTTTTCAGAGATGCGATTCACTCATGGTTCACAGAAAAACAAATATTTTATTACCTTTTCAGTTCACACCTTTAAAGTAAAGAGCAAAGCCATCTGCTTATAAAAATACAACACACAGCTCTATGCCTTTGTAAGCATCTCCAACATTTTAAATCAATAAACATTTTTATATGATGTCCACATATACAGTATGACATTATTTTTGATAGACACTTTATGTTTATATATGTATATATGTAAATATATATATATATATTTTAGTCTATGGTCACATTGACATACATTTGATGAGAAAAGGCAACACATGCAGGTAACAGCAGCACATTTAAAAACAGTCAAAAACAATATTCACCTGTGTTGACACAAATTGTTTTTTAAAGTGAAAATGGCCTGTTTGATGTTGGATGTATTTGAACTGTGGTTGTATATATATATTTTTTGTCACAGAGTTTATGAGGTCTTTGTTGTTCAGCTCAGGTCAGCAAACATCACATCTAGATATATCGCACGTTTTTATTATTTCATTTTCAAACAGGAAACACAAGGTTGCTTTTCTTACGTCTTAGTTCCTGATATTGGCCACTAGAGGTCTACCTTATCAATACAAATTATTTTTAAACCTTACATTGAAATCTGCCATGTAGATAAGGATTAAACATATGATGAATTCGAAAAACGTTTTTTTCTCATGAAGGGTTGATATGATCTGGGAAACTGGGTTGAGAAGAATGGCCCATTAAAAGTATTATTTGTGCAGATACATCTGTACCATTGTGACATGAAGGTTTAAGTGACACTTTTCATTTAAGTATATCACCTTTTCATAGGTGCTTTTTGCCTGACCTGGACACTGAAGGTGGTGACATGCATGATGGGAAAAACACGAGGCAATGAGTGGGCAGCAGAAGTACGCTAAAAATATTACCACATCAAAAATGTAAAATTCCCAAGAATATTCAAAACATAATAATAATAATAATAAAAACACTATTGTGCAAACAATGATGATGGAGGGAGAGATTATTAAGTCATACTAACTCAAGTACTCAAAGTACAAAGAACGAACATGTAAACCTGTTCATTAGGGAGGTAGCGGTAGGGGGCGGTAAAGAGTCAAGAGTCAAGAGTAGATTCCTTGTAAATGGAGGTGCTTAACAGAAACCAGCGTACACCAGCCACAAAGTGTTATGTTGGTGTTGAACTATAGAACCTTCTGGAGGATGGCGTTGGGCACTTCCAGAGTCTCGTCCTTAACCAGGACGATGTCATAAGAGTCCAGGTATTTGTCTAATTGCTCCTCCACCTGCAAAGTGTAGGAAGAAGTCATCAAGTCGCAATATTGTTTTTTAACAACATTTCTAACTTGGTCCAAGTGCCGAGAATTAATTTTAATCATTCATTTTAGTTACAAACTGACTGTGCACTGGGTTTAACTCTAAATAATACAAGGACTCGTCCGGGACCTCTCACACCCTAAGCGAGAATCATACCCCTAAACCAACGAGCCACGTAGTGCCTACCAAAACCCACATCGTCTATAATTCACAGTTACTCCAATGAGTGTAACTGCACAAACAAAGAAATATTTTAGATTAATGCTAATTAGCTAAGTGAAAAGACATTTGTGTGTTTTACAGTCCCTGTTTTTACCTTGTCATTCAGGAAGCCGATCTTCAGCATGTTTTCCACATTAGGAACACCGTCGGCCATGCTGAGGTCCCCCAGCGAGTCTCCCATTAGAATGATGTTGGAATACTCCCTCACTTGTTTGAAGTACTCTGTATTTCTGAGGGCACCGTCGTGTTTGTTGTACACGTGGATCAGCTCTCCTTTGAAACCCTTTACGATGCCCTGTGAAAACGAGCAGCAGAGCGAGGTGAGGCAGCAGGACTTTGACGTTGTTCGGTTAAACATGAGGCAAGAGCGGAAACACAAAAAAGGACTTACATTGTCATCAAAGTCCATGAAGTTGGAGACGACCTTAATGTTGGGTGTGTAGACCCCGGCCTGGCGTATGATTTCTTCCAAGACGTCGCCCAGGCCAGCAGAAAAGATGAAGACAGGCACGTTATGCTGATGCAGGCGATCGAAAAAATGTTCAAAGCCTTCCCTGTAGACAAAAACCGGAGGCGTCAGAGGAGACAGTGTTAAATATAACATACATGAACCCAACAGTTAGTCTCCACTGTTGAGGTCCCACAACAAATACCTGAGGGCAGCGTCAGACTCCCTCACCACTTCAGGCAGCTTGTCTTTTTCTAACCTCTGCTCCACAAGCAGTGAGTGTGACTGGAAATACCTGCAGACAGTAAAATCACATTACATCAAGAGTCATGGCTTGTTGTTCTGTCTTAAAGACGAGACTGAGCCACTGCATTCTGACTGTAATTAAATGCTGCACGGCAGCACCATATTTGACAGTTTTTTTTAAGAGCCATAAATGAAAAGACACACATTAGACACACCTAGAGCAAAAATGATATTCAATTGTGTGTGTCTTTTTTTACCATTCCACCATAAATGGGTATTTCTCCTCCATGGTAAGGTGAGGGTCGATCTCAATGGCATAATATTTATTCTTCAGCTGCAGCAGCTTCGTTCTACATTCTTCTGTTACCAACCTGCAGTTATCGATGACATCTGCAAAAAGACATTCATTAATACAATATACTCATACAATACCAAAAAGATGACACTTGAGACTGAGGAACGTACTGTGACACGTGGGACAGCGTTTGCCATTAACAGCGAATTTGCTTAGCGTCATGTCGAAGTCAGTGATGATCTGTAAGAGTCGAGGACACAGTCAATGTTATCAAGTGAAATATACTGTCTCACTTCTAAAAACTGCAGGAAAATATGTTCTACTTCAGTGGTTCTTAACCGGGGTTCGTTGAGTCAGGGACAAGACACAGACCCGACTCATATGATTCGTGATGACACGCCACCCACTTGGCCATCACCGAAAGGTTCAGTGAATGCGCATATGAAACTGCTGAAGTTCAGTATCTCCAACAAGAACCACTGTTCTCTTTCTACTACATTATGTTGACATGATTTTGCAAGACATTCCAGAAAAAAAGAAATAAGCACCACCTGGTGGCCCCATTTTACCAAACCCTTATCATAATAATACCTGTAGTTTGGAAGCCCCTCCCTTGATCAGACCACAGATGATCTGTTCCACCCTCTCGGGGTCCCTCATGTGGACCGTCTTCTTCTCAAACTGTGGCATCTGTAGAACAGAAGAGAAGTTGATTTATTACATTTAATTATACTATATATTATTATTCATACAAAAACATAACAACAGTGACAACGTGGCTGACCAACAAGCCTGAAATCAACTGAGGGGACTAGTGTTTTTGAATATTTTACTTTTCTAGAAGAAATCTCCAACAACCTCACAGCAGCAATGCCATTAATCTCACCAGGAGGCGCTGCCACTGAAACATCTTCACTGTGAAACACCTCTTTCTCCAAAAGCCAAGTGTCACAGTAAAAGATCCCAACTGCATTTCCACAGCACTTTGTTTATTCTCACTGTAAGACACTTACACATACAAAACATATAAACCTGTTAAATCAAAGGACCTATGACCCCTGGGCGCCCTAGGTCTGCAGCAGGACCCCAAGTTAGCTATAATTGTCTATTGTCTTTAGCAGACTTGCTTGTTGCTAACCTACTGATAACTAGCATCTGCAATGTTGCCTCTCCACCACCTCCAGGCCTTCTTCTGTTTTCTTGGCGCAAGGTGCGGGATCAAATCAAAGGACCATGACCTTATCAAAGGAAAATATTTTACCATCACCTTTTTGGTTATTTGCTTCAAATTGGCCAATTCATTTTTAAAATATTTAAATTCAAAATAAATATGAAAGACAACCTGAGTGACAGTTCTCTGGGGTAATTCAGATATTTATTTAATCATGTTAACCGTCAGGCTTCACTTCTTGCAGGGGCTAGTAGCACATGCAGCTACATGTTAGCGACAGTAACAAGGCATAGGCTAGCAAACATACGTATACTGAAACTGCTTCAAATGACTTGTTATCAGAAGCAGAAGAAACCTCTAATGCCTAGGAACAAACATGTTCATACTTGTACTGCAAAAGAATTTGACAACATGCATGTCGTATTAATCACTCCTGCACAGGGGCCTCAAGCCATGGTTCACCTTATTTATCTGCAGTCCTGCCTTTTATAGATAGGACTATTACTGAGCATCTCCACATCCACTTATTTACAGCTTTTGCTTTTGGACAAGAAAATGTTGAAATCGGATTAATTTTGCCTTGCTGCGCTGTCCTTCCTAAAATTATCTTTGCACCCCTTGTTGGTGTGCTCCCCCACATTGAGAACCACTACCACAGGTACTGATAACATTTTTTGGGCCAATTCCAATTTCAGACTTCTTTGTTAATTGAAAGCTACCGATTTTGATTTTTATCTGATCGCTTAATGTCTAATTAGGATGCACTGACATCTAATGGTGACACAATTTCTTACAGATAGGGGTCAATAATGGAAGAACAAAACAAACAGTGTGTGTGAATGTTTTGCTGCAGGACTGATGGGCCCCAAAGTTTTTTCTTTAAATATGAACAGCAAATCCTGATGTTTTTACTTTGTGCGCTGCCTTCTGGATCTTTTAACGTGCTGTTCTTACGACACACACAGACAAAAAAAAAAAAACACACTAGTGTAGGGGGAGGAGGCTTAAGGGAGAGGGGTGGGAAAACAGCTGATGTATGGAATTCACTGGTGTTGTGTAACAGCCTGAGCCAGATCTACAAGCAGCCACAATAACTGCCTCTCAGGGAGGATTTGAACTTCAGCCCGTCCTGTAACTTCAGCCCGTCAACATTTCTCTCACCTGACCAATGCTGAGTGCAGTCTGAGGATTACCATGAAAAATACAAACAGGGACCGGATTTTTTTTTCTTTTTTAAGGTTCAGCCGTGCTGATTATGGTGAGCCAGAAGTTAATTCACATAGATGTACTGTCAATGGTAGCCTGTGTACAAACAGTAGACTTGTATCTGTGACTTCCAAGGCAACACTCACCAGAAGTGGAATAACAGAATCTACTTTTCCAGGTTTTTCCCCCACAAAACATCTTATTATGCAGTGGATTAAATTAAACAGTGCCCATGAAATTATATAAATATAATAATTATATAAAATAATTATTACATTATATACTAATACCTATTCTAACTTATTGCATACAGTAACTTCTCAGTTACTATGCAAGTTTATTTTTTATTGATTTAAAAAGTTGTGTTATATCTGTCATGTGAAAAAATAAATAATTTCAGACAATTGTCTTTAGGGGTCGCTACAAAGCAAACAGAGATTGGTCCTCTGTGCCATGGTTGGGTATGATACTGTATGCTCAGGGACACATTGGCATGTTGCATGTTGACCCCTGGACAGCCCACTTCTTGTGAAATTTTTTTTCAGAAAAGAAAAAGGTTGATCCTGCCTTTTTAAAACTATGTTTCTAAGGAATAAACTCTATATAGATGATATGAATGCTGTGGGATTTGCATATTGACTGGCTACTACTTATTACTCTTTGTATCCATGTTTATTTACTGTGACAAAAACATTATATAAACAGCTACTAAAGAGTCGTATTGAAGACTTATTTCTGGTGCAAGTGACTTCAAGAGAAAGAGCAAAAAAGACACCGTTGAGTAGACGTTTAATGCATGTGATGACAAGTAAACAACTTGACAACTAACACAGCCCCTGACAACACCCCTCCCCCGACATGCCCTGCCCCCAGTCTTATATAATAAGCACTGAGCTTCTTAAAAATGTATAAATTGCTTAACAGAAACATGACACAGGAACAGTAACTATAAATAAAACCAAGCCCATTAACACCCCCTGGAAAAACCTCATGACTGTAGTACACAAACACACAGTTACCTCAGTAGACAAGCACACGCAATACCTTGAAGGTTGTACTGCATGATGACGAGAATAAAGGAACTAGTTTCTCATTATTCTCATTATTTGAGAAGAAAAAAACCTCTGTTTTGAATACATTTTCAGAGATGGAGAATTTAACCCTTCACTACCTCACAAGTCCAGTAAGTTTATGTTTAGGAAAAAAAGGAAATGTGAGGAAAAACATTGCATCTGAATGGTGTGTTCTCTGACTGCAGTCTAACTGAATCCTGCTGCTCAAATAAACACAAATATTGCTGTCATGTTACTCCTTAACATTCCCAAAAAATAAACACTGACTATTGGTCGTTCATGTCAGGTCTCAGTCTTTTCATGTCAAAAATGTTTGAAAACAAAAATTTGAAGCAGCTGTCAAAGTAGAAGGATGAGGAATCCTTAAAGATTTTAAAACCGGTTTTGCATTATACACACACACATACACAAACACAAACAGTGTGACACTTACCTCAGGTCTGTATGTCTCGGCAAAGTTCAAGAATGAAAAAAAGAATGTGTGGTTGCACAAGGCTTTTATAGCAGGAAAGGGGGGGGGGGGCGCTTAGCAACACAGATTAGACTGCAGAGCTCTTCCCCCACTACGTATGTAGACTCAGACAAACACACACACACACACATATACATGTGTAGAAGACGACCATTTCAGATGACCCATGTCAACACAGACAAACATGAATAATAACAGCTGCAAATAACAGCTCCCTTCCTCCGCAAACACACATGTAATAAATGGCTTGACACCACAGTGGAGGCCACCTGGGTCAAGGTTCAACCCTGGGCTGTGCAGGGTGACAATGGTCAGTCACAAATGACAGGAATGCAGCTCACATGTAAACACTGTTTACAAATGTAAACGGTCACAAATGTGCAACAGAGATGTGGAGTCTGAACATGTCACTGTTTTCGTTTAAATGAAACTTACACCCAACCCTAGGGGGAAGCGTTCAGGTTGATCAGGTTTTTGTGTCTAGGATGCCTGTTGTATCAATGCACAAGACACAAAGAGGCTATCTCTCATATTATTTACAGGCACGTAATTAATTCAACTAGAAAAGTAGTGTAATCGCTTCAATAAAAGACTACCGTACTACTAGTCATGAAGCCTTTCTTTTTTCTATTATTTGTATTTTATTTATTTATTTTTTTTGTGTGTTTTATTTTATATTTGTTATCTACATACAATGTTCAAGTTGCAGCCTTTGCATGTTCCTTTGACATAAATTAAAGAACTGTGATGCACAATAAGACCATGTAAGTGATTCTGTCTCTTATTGTTGGACCAAACAAACCAACATTGCTGATTCAGTCTTGCTGAACCAGATTATTTATAGAATCAGAATTACATGAGAGCCTTGGTGTAACGCTGATACCTCGACCAGGCTCAGTTTTTGCTGAAGCTTAGTTTCCTTATTGATGTTGTCCTTCACCGGCCAGCACTGGAACACGAGTCCTGAAGACCTGATCCATTCCCCCTGCTCTGTTGACCTCGACTGTGGTGCATACCAGGACCCACAAAAAGTAGGTCGACACGCTCTGGTTACCCATCACCGTAATAACAGTGCAGGTCCTTGTCGTAAACCAGGCTCATGTAGATGACAGAGAAGTCTATAAATCCATCCACTCCATCAACAGATGTTATTTCTTTCTAACAGAAACACCAGATGTTGACCCACTGGCAACTGTGACCATTGGCAGCATCAGTGAACAAAGAATGCCTCTGTTCTCAGAGATTTAAAAAAAAAAGTATGCTTTTTTATTGGTCTCTTGCTCATTTTAGAAAATGGTTGACAATAAAACAAATGCTACAGAAATAAATGTCCACCAGTCTACCAGGGTTAACTAATGTTGTTAGAATAGTGTGCACTTAAGTCAGCATTTATTTACCTTCATATGCCTTTGGTGTCAGTCAAGGTCTATAGGAAAAACACATTTGCTAAATTGCATTAGCATTAGCATAAACCATGAAGTATTTCTCAAATAGATCATGGGTAAAAAGCAAACAAATCTATCTTGATCATTGGTTCTCACCCTTTTGCACAACAAACTATTTTCAACACCACATGTCAGCATATCTAAAGCTTTTGCTTGAAAATTGTATTTACAGTATTTCCTAGAAAACTGCTACGGGCAATGTGGCACCAAAAAAGAAAATTTGAAATAATAAAACAAAAAACAAACACATGACTTGCTGTGTCCGTGACCCACGCTCCATGACTCCAGACAGGAACACACCCCCTGTTGCTGAGCTCTGAAAGTCCGTGCAGTTACATAACCTATGAGAAAACTTTGTCTGCAAAACAATCCTGATGCACCTTTAACCTTAGCACGTTGGCAAGGTGACAAGTAGAAATGTTCTCAGCACTTTGACTGCAAACATCGACACATGTTGTTACAGGCCACGTTCTTAGTCTGGTATTAATGTGGTTTAACTGTTGACCGGGTGCAGAGGTTTCTGCGAATATGTTTTGTTGTTTCAAAATAACCAGTCAGACCATGAAGGCTGTAAGGCTGACTGTTCACATTTCAGTGAGTTAAGAACAACTGCATTTACATAGAAAATGCCTCTTATCTGTACTGGTGATTTTTCATACAGCTTTCAAACTTACTTCTACCTGGGTCAGTGGCTATGACAGACAAAGTCCAGAGACTTTCCTACACTGTTTTACCAACTCCAAATTAACCAGATTCAGAGAATTGTGATTTTGTTTTTTTCGCTAATTCTCATTAGGTTAGGAAATACAATACAGTATACAGTTTCAGTAAGTAAGTATGAATTAATCTGATGGCCAGTCCACCTTAGTAACTTTACGCTATAATAATAATAGAGGATAATACTCATAGATTTTAGTCAAAGCTGGTTGAAGTATGGTGCCAACATCAACACAGGCCAGGACCTGGACGACTTTAAACTCGTTAGCCCCATCAACACTCAGCCAATGAAAGACGGCACATGTTGAAATGTAATTGCATGGTCTATGGCTAAATGTTTCAGCCTCTGTAGGTATTTTCCATTTTTTCATACATACTGCTAACTGCCTTTGTGTCTCTCATTGTGAAATCCAACCACACTTTAGTTTGCATCTGCCTCGACACCATGTGGTAAACACTCTGTACCAAACTCTGTTACACACTCTGTTGGAGATGTCTCTACGCAAATACATGATAAAGCAAACTGTCTATTGGACGCATAAGAATAAGTAAAATGTTGCGTTGAAGAAATCGTAAATCAGAATTAGCCAAAAGAATTGCAATTGCTGCATTTCTTAGTCAATCATCTCTGAACATTACCTAAAAGCTGACGATCCCTGCTTAGCACTACCCTGAACATTACTGTGTAATTGAAGAAACACACGTATTTGGAAATGTATTCAACTTATGATACTAGTACTTCTATTAAACCGTGATGTAATATAACAGGCCACTGTGTCATTTATGGATGACCTCATCCCTGTTTTTGTAGAAATTTTCTTCAGTGGTTTCCTGCCCTGAAACTACAGCATGAACTGCATGAGTCATAGTGATCACCATATGCTGCAGCTGATAAATGAAAAGTCCAGCAGATAAGGCGCTCGACACAGGCCCAAAACAGAAACTTTACTCTTCGCTTATACTTTAATTCCCACCATAATTTTTATTTTTTCCTTAATTCTTTTGTTTGTGAACCTCAACATTCACTCATTCTGGCTGGTTTGCCATATTTGACCATTGCTTACTACAAAATATGTTGTTTTTTTCGTAGTTTATTTTTATTTAATTTCCTCATCTACAGGTTGAATTTTAGAACATATTATTACAAATAAAAGCCTAATATAAGTTTTTCTAGCACAACTGCAGCTATGACAAGAGGATAACTTTCCTAATGAGTAAACCCTTTGTTATACATTCTCTCTGAACACAGTGTAGGTCAAGGTACAATATCATCTGTAGTCAGCACTGTTGTTGTCTGATTGATTAAAGCCTGGTCAAACCTCTGCTGTGTCTCTGATATAATCGTACCCCCGTGTTACAATGACAATAAATGCTATTCTTTTCTATTCTATTCTATTCTATTCTATTCTAATGATGTTTCATTCATGTACCACATGAACAAATCTGAACACATCACTGAGACACTGTATACACACAAAGAAAACAAGACAAACACGGATAACATTAGAACTGTTCCTTTGACAATTATTAATGCCTTTTGATTGTAAGTTATCTATGAAGAACATTTATTTCACCAAGAAACTAGCAATTTTGCACTTGCTTGTATCAGTTCTTTACACTGTGACTGTGTTGCTAATCTAAGATAAGAGCTTTTATTGCTAAAGAAAATAGGACAACCCTACAGGACTGTGTTGGTGTAACCTCCCAATTGACACACAAAGGTGTGTTTCACACTATAAATTCAAAATACATTCTTGTTTGTAAGGGAAACCACAGACTGGCAGTTCAACTTAAAGCTCTGTGCTGCCCCCAAAAGGCCAACAGGGTGAATTCACTCCAAAAGATACTAATTCAGGATAATAATAAAAAAACACATGTGCACCAGCAGCCTTGTACTGTTCATGCTGCTGGTTCTGCTGCGACAAATCAGAATGTTAGATCAATCGGCCCTTAATTAAAACCAGAGGAAATAACCATTAAATTTCACTCCACACCAACCTGTTGACATGATTCTTCACGATCAAAGATGTTTGACCATGGAAAGTTTAACCAAAGTATTTCTAAAATGTGGTTTTACTAGTTCACAGGTGTTCAGTCATGCTGCTTCGACTTGTTAACTATGGCTGTTCATGTGATATAACAAAACCTCAACCCCCAGGCCAGAAAGCCAGAGTTGATCTGCCATCATATGGTTTGTGCACTCCAGGGGTTTTGAGCGGATGTTTGTCCTTTCTCACATCATCAAACGCAGATGGTCACAAGTTTCCACGCTTAAGGTCAACAACGGAAAACACATCTTACTGTGCAGAGGACACCGCAGGAGAGGCTACTACATCCCAGAAATCTTCGCCAGGAACAGTTCTTTCAGCAGAGGTGTTGCTCAGCACAAAAGCTGAGCCAGGGCGGTGTGGATTTCTGCTGTGGGGTCTTGTCAAAGGGTTATTTTTGACTTGGAAAGAAATTACTACAAGTCAAGGTCACAAAAACATCATTAGGCCTAAAACGCAATTCGGGTTTAACTTAAGAATAAATCATAAGATCTTGGATATGTAGGTCCACAGAGGTAAGACTAATTTCACACTGAATGTCAAACAAGGCCAAATACAACTTACACACTGTGGCTCGTTGGTCTAGGGGTATGATTCTCGCTTAGGGTGCGAGAGATCACAGGTTCAAATCCCCGATGAGCCCACAACATTTTTTTATTGTTAGGCCTCCTCTTGTAAGTCACTCTGTATAAAAGCATCCACTAAATGCATAAATATACATAAATGTGA